AGAGATGCGTGATTACGAGACAATAAATGAGAGTATTTTCTTCTGGTGCAGTGGTCAGAAGTTATTGTTTTGAATAAGCACCACTGGTGTGTAATCTTCACGGCGAGCTTCTTGAATTGGTGAAGTGCCAATGCTCTTTGGAAGCTCTCAGCAGACAGGAACTTATTTAAACTTATAAAACCAACGTAGACGAAAAAATGTCAAAAATGCCCTGTGTAAGGCCTCAGCTTGCAAACAGACAAATTGTGAAGACAATGGTGCTTCTCATGGAAGAGAGGGCAGCAGGAACTTTTTCTTTCCACGATGCCTTTGTAAAGATTAAGAAATCGCTACTAGAATAATATCCTGATACACAGCAATTTCTGGGGTGTCAGAAATCACATCTTTACAGCAATGGCATGGGTGTTTGGAGGGCCTCTTCCAGCTGCTGGTGAAGTTTTCTGGCCTTTTGTGACTTCTAGTAGAGTTTGACTGGACATTATTTGTTACTTAAGAGTATCTCTGTTTATTGCTCAGTAGAATCTCTGTGAGATTCAAAGGCCAAATTCAAGACTTGCCTATTATATGTAATAAAATTATGTCCAGTAAAGGACTGGTTTTATCCCACTGATGTGCACTGCACTAACAGAAGAGGCAGAGAATTTTTATTTCAGTATCATACATAGGTTATTCCTTTGATCTTATCCCAACAATAAGATTTTCTGGGCTTAATTTCTTCACACTTTATTGAGCATGAGAAATACCGACCTGTGTTGTCCTAAAAAGGAAAAAAAAGTCTGCTAATKAAYACCATGAGCACAAAMTCGGTCAGTTCATGAATGCAAACCTGTGAATATATGCTGAGTGAATAACTGGCATTCATTTCCTCTAAATAGAGAGGTACAGATAGAAWTCCTGGTTCGTGTTAATGTTTACATGCCCTACTTATTTAGAAAGAGTGTCCTGCAGAATTCTGGATTCCCTGCAGTAAAAGTGACCATTATAAACTACACACACTTACCCAGATCTTCATGCTTGTGCCAGTCTCCACAGGAACTATCTTGAAAATAAAGCACTGTAAGGATTGAAGGAAATTATTGTGTTTTAATCTGTACAATCTAATTTGGCCATAACTTTCTTTTTTTCTTTTGTTCACATAAAAGAGTGAGAGAAGACTACCATGACCAGAAAGTATTGTGTGATTTGGAGTACTCAGTTGTTTAAGCTGCACTAATTTTATTGGTTTTTTTATTGGTTTGTGAGACATACTTTCAAATAAGTGTTTAACAACAAGAAAAGAACAGATTATACAGTCTTGTCTTTATTCTGTGGAAGGAATAAGTTACGTCATCACAGCAGGGAGGGAGGAGAGGTGCTACATCATTTTGTTCTTGATATTTTTATATGGAGATCTTCCACTTGAAGCATCCTGCCCACACCACCATTCAAGTGGCAGAGAGAAGTCTAAGTAAGCGATGCTTCAGGGTGGGCTGCCAGCTTGAGGGGTCACCATAGGCAATTTTCCTGAGTATTTCTGTCTTTGTCCATCCAAGTTGCTGCTGGCAAAAAAAAAAAAAAAAAAAAGAAAAAAAAAAAAAAAAGAAAAAAAAAAAAAAAAAAAAAGAAAAAAAAAAAAAAAAAAAAAAGAAAAGAAAAAGAAAGACGAGTGTGATCCTGGAGCTCTTGTGATGGATGAATGCAAACTGTCAGGACAGTGAGTCCTGAGTCATCACCCCACAGATGCTCAGAGGATGCACATGGAGAGAAAACTCCAAAACTCCTGTGGCCACAGCCCATGCAGTATTTGAGTGGAACTATCCACCCTCTGTGCTGCTGCTATGCAGGGTTAAAACTGACTGAGGGCGGTATATCCCAGGTAAAAACCAGCACAGTATTCAGCAAATAAATCAATCAAAGCATGCTCTGTGTGCTGTCAAACAGCACCGATGCCAAGACCTCTGCCTGCCTGCCCTGCAGAATACAGAAGATGCAGCTTGTGGGAAYAGTAAGAGTTTAACTCAAATCCCATCAGAAATGTGAGGGAAAGYAGCCTGAGAGAATAAAGGCTGTCTTCACAGCCTTGGCAATGATGTCTGACCTGCAAGGCCACCTCCTGATTGTGCAGAGACATGGGCCCCTCTCTGGGTTTTGCCACCAAATAGGAGGGGATGKCTGATGGAGATGATGGCAGAATGCAGGATTTAGAACTGGTTTGGATCCAGCCTCGGGTGACAGTGCCAAGATTGTAACTGTGCAATGGCCAAACAATTCCTGCTTGAAAGGCGTTGGGGGTTCTGTCTGGTCCTGCTGCATCTGCAGCTTCAGAGTGACTGTCGTGGGGACAGAGATCCAACAGAAAGAGCAAAGGATTGAGCACTGTCCCCTCATCCTGCTGCTCTGCAACAGCACACGTGGGAAGGGAGATGGGAGGGATGCGCTATCGCGCTTCTGACGCCACTCGCTTCCTGAATAAACAGAAAGATCTCACTGTGATAAAAGATAAATATGCATGTTATTGAAAGAAAAAGCCCAGACTCATCAAAACAGAAAAATTAGTTCATAGCTCTGGTCTGTATTTATTTGGATGGTAGGTTAGGTCAGTCATTTTCTCCTGTGTGACTTGCCCGTCCCTGCTGTGTCATCACTTAACCTAATCCTTTTCCTTTTTCAGAGGCAGAAGACATTTCCTCTTGGTCTGATTAATGCTCTCAGATGAGCTGGCTCAGGGAGTAAGCTGTTAAAGAAATAGTTTTATCTGTTATTTATGTAGGAACCCTCTGGTGGAAACCAATCTTTGCTTCACTCTCCCCTGCTGTCCCTCAGCTCCTGAGCCGTGCCCAGGCTCCATGAAATCACTTCATTGTTGCTGTCAACCATCTGCTCTTCCMGTTCATCAGGGCAGTGGGATGAACAGAAGGAGCTCCAAGGAGAAGGCAGCCTTTGCTCCAGGTTCAGGATGACCTTGCTCTAATTTTTGTGAGTCTGCCCTTCCAGGTGAGAATGGAAATGCCCCACACCCGGGGCCCTGTTCGGACTCTCCGGAAGAGATCCTGACTTTTGGCCGGTCAGATAGAAGAGCTACAAATCAGTCCTATGATTCCATTTCCTTCCTCTTTTTTATTTCTCCTCACTTTGCTTTCTCCAGGTTTGATTTTATTTACTCTTCAATTTAAATTTTATCCTTTTTTTCTGTCATTTTCCAACTCACGTCAGTGTTTTTTTTCCCTTCTAAACCAATGCTTTCACTGTGCCTTCTCTCTCTCTTTTTTTTTCACAAAACAGTCTATGAGACCAAGTAAAGTCTTTACCACCCTAGTGAATAATTAATCTCATCTGCTCTGTAACTCTATCCAGGACCATCAAAAAGTCTGCGTGTTTTGGGTCAATAATAAAACAAAACATTTTTCTACTTTTAGATTTTATGCATTACAAAAGTTTTTGCAATTAACAACGAACAATACTTAGTGCTGGCTGACCATTTCACATTGAGAAATCTTTCCCATGGGAAAAATGCCTATTTGTTGTTTTTGTAGGAATTATCTATTTCAGATAACTTTATTATCATTTTTCTGGGTTTTAGTAATGTAGAAAAAAGCCCCAAAACTCAGCCTATTTCGGCATGATGCTTTTACTCAGCTTTGATGCCAAACTGATTTTTCTTTAGTGTGTGTTTCAGCAAGAGGCAGAGCATCAAGGAGTCCTATGGGAAAAACGTTTGCGTTGATATTTTAATGGAAGCTGAAGAAAGTACACCTGGGCTGCCTCAGACTCCAGAGGGTTTTCCAGTTTTTGAAAGGCAACCTCCGGTGGATGAAGTGGATCAATGATTGATAAAAGCTGTAGGGAAAACTAACGCAGAAGAATATAGAGATGGAGAGAAGGCAGAGCACAGGGCATGTGGGCGAGGAGCTCCTGCAGAGGAAGGCTGGCTTCCCCAAGGACCAAGGCTAAATCAAAAGACCCTTCATAGCATGGCTGCGATCTGCGGTGGGGGTAAGGCCAAGCCCTRTTTTAAGCTTTTCCTGTAACCAGATTAAAGCTCCAGTCATGATTCCCCCGTGGCTTGGATGCAGTGCTGAGAGGTGAAGGACCACCGAGGCTCCTTGGGGCTCTCTTCCAGATTTAGGGCATAAAYGTTTCTTCTTTAGGGCTGCACAATTCAGTAAGTCAGAGCATTTCTTTAGCCCTGAAAAATATTGTTTAGAATGTTTCCTCCTCGCTCCCARCTGATGGGAACACAGGAATGAGCACGGGCCTTGCCTTTGCAGCAATCTGCAGCAGACACCAAGGGCAGGACAYGTATGGGGACACACATTAACCTCAGCCTGGAACTGCTTCCCTGTCAGAAATGGCATTTTGGGGACAGCTTTCCAACAACCATTAAAACTGCACACCCCTGCTCGGGCTGGGTGGATGTGGGGAGGCTTGGCAGGTGATGTGTGCTCCAGGTGTGATATTTGGCACAAAGGGAAGGATCTACAAAACATAGCTTACGAGGAACAGCTGCAGGAGGTTTGTTTATATCAACACAAATGAGGTTCAGGTGAGAACTCTCTACAAATACCTGAACTCAGACTGCAGCCAGGTGATGGATGGTCTCCTTCCCGCACATGCAGTGGGAGGACTAGAGGAAAACAGCCTTAAACTGGGATAGCGGAGGCTCAGATTAGGCATCAGAAAAATGTTTCGCTTTTAGGGAGGTCTGGCATTGTCACGGATGGTGGTGAAGCCACAATCCCCGCAGGTGTTCCACCTGGACCTGGCGCTGGGTGATGCTGTTTGGGGCTTCCATCGGTGCTGCTGGCCGGGCGGCCGGACTGGCTCATCCTGAAGGTCTCTCCCAACCCTGACGATTCTCTAACCCTSCCATTCTACGACTCTAAACCCGGTGAGCAGATCGGGGTGGACACGGGGGGCGGACGAGGCGAAACGGCAGCGGGGCGAGGCGAGCGGGCCGGGCGGGCCGAGCGCCGTGCCCGCCCCTCAGGAGCCCCCGCCCCCGGCGGCGCGGTGCGGGGCGGGGCCGGAGCGGGAGCGGGGCTGGCCCGCGTCCCACGCCCGCCTCGGCCGCCTTTTCGGCGGGAGCCGCTACTCCAGAGTGCGCGGTAGCGTGGGCCGGCCGGGGCCCCATGTGGTGCCGACATCACTGACATGGCGGAATCCCCGCCGAGCCCTCCCGGCACTCGCTCCAGCTAACCGGGACTCGCCGCCCCGCACCGCCCTCCCGCAGGTAAGGACGCGGCGGCGCCGCGGGGAAAGCGGGTGCCGGCCGGGGAGCACCGCGGCTCTGCTGCGCTGCGAGCGCCGGGGAGCCGCGTCCCCCGCCCTGGGGCGCCGCTCCCGGTCCCGGCTCTTTTGTTCGGCGGCGGGACGCGGCCGCACTCGGCGGAAAGTTTCTCTCCCCGCCCCGCCGGCTCCCCCCGCCGCGGGGAGCGCCCGGCGGGCGGGCGGGCGGGAGCGGCCGCGCTCGGGGCTGGCGGCGGGACGGGCGCTCCAGCACCGCCCGGCTGTCCCTGGGGGCGGCCGGCCCGGCCGCTGTCATCGCCGCCGCCCTGCTCGCCGTCCTCCCCGGCCGCTGCGGCTCCCGGAGGAGCGGTGCGGGAGCGGGCGGTGCTGGCGGGGGCCGCGGGCACCGCGGGTGTGTGCGGGGTTCCTGCCGCGACACCCCCGAGCCGCGCCCCGCTCCGCTCCGCTCGGCAGCCCCGCTCTCCGGCCGGGGCCGCGGGCAGGTGGAGGAACCGGGGGCTCCTCCGCCTCCGGAATGTCTGGATCCAGAGGGCATGTTGGAGAAAAAGCTGGAGAAAGGCGCGACCGTCTTCTCTCGGCWCCGTCCTCCCCGCCCGGCTGCTGGCAGAGGCGGCTTGGGGAAGGAAAGCCCTGGAAACTTTTTATTTTTGCTTGCCAGACACCTTTTTAAAATGGCATGCGACCAGCAGACGGAGTGAAAAAAGAACAACTCTTTTTAAAAGCTTAACCTCTCTTAGGTTAAGACCACAGCTGCATCCCCCCCTTCCCGGTTCTCAGAAATGTTCTATTTAAATAAGGTTTTGGCGGAGGTAGTGCGGCTTGGAGTTAAATGTAACGAACCCTTTATCCCATCTATATTTGTAGAATAAGACGGCGCGGGGCAAGCCTGCCTCTCTCCATATTAGTAATTTTGTGTTTCATTTGCATTTCTTTGTGTCTTTTGAGTATCTAAAAGTACTGGCCTTAAAGGAATAGTTACCCCATCACTGCGTGGGGAACTGAGATAGGGAGACATTGGAATTTCTTGTTGGCTGGGTTGTTTTTTTTTTTACGTTTTAGATTTTTGTTGTTTGAACTCCGTGCTAGGTCTGTGACAAGAGGATTCACATATCCCAGTTCCCTGTGCCCTAACCACATCTGCTGTATCCCTTAACCGCTTACCCTGCAGAACACAGGGTTCTGAAAGGTGCCAAACCAGTCTAACTCGAGTTTAACAATGTGCTGGGTAATGGGATTTCAAACTTCCACAGATTTTTAAGTACAAAACACTGTCTCTCAACCTTTTTTTTGCAGCGGGGCTTGCTTAAAAAAGGTTGCGAGTGCCAGGCCTGGCAGTGCCTCCGTGCCTGTGCTGCTCTGGGTCTGTGCTTTGTTCTGATGGGGAGCGGCTGCTCTGGACACGGATGACACAATATGTGCTTGGCWGGAGATGCCGATAAAGGCATCGCTTCCATAAACCTCAGGAATGGGCTGTGGGCTGCCTCCTGAGTGGAAGCATCCTGCTCCTCTCGCCCTGTCCGCCGCCGCTCTRGCCCACCTGGGGCCCGTGTGTCTTTCTCAGCAGCAGGAGAATACGCTGCCGGTGCTACCAGTAAGAAAATGATTCTTGGCCGTGTTCCCGGGGTCATTTCGGGTCTCGCACAGAAGCGGTCTGTTAGTGCTTTTCTCTTAATCTTCGGCACTTTTTGTGGTTCGCTCTCGTTAGTTTCAAAGCGGTTGTGATTTGTGGTTGTATCGGAACCCTGCTGTGACAGAAACGTCTGCTGCCCCAGAAGTGTCGYGTATTGTTCTTCCCAGTTCAGTATCCTTTAGCTACTTTATGCYTATAGTGTAGCTCAGAGATGAGTCTGTGTGGAAGTTGAGATATTTTTCTTTTTTCTTTCTTTTTTTTAAAAAATTGAGCTGTTGGGACTCATCTGGTTTGGGTTTGAGGTCACTGCTGGGACAGCAATGAGAGGGTTTTTTTCATAGTGTTAGCCTATAGTTTGCCAAAGGATAAGAAATGAAGGTAGTTAGCAGCCAAAATAAGCTGATATTCTGCTATAGCCAAAAAGCTCAGTACTGTAACTCCATACTGCAARTATTTCATCTTTAGTCTCAGAAAAGTTTGTATCTTCTAATCTGAAGTGCGTTTATCCTGGCACTTTTTTTCCCTACGTGTGGTATTTAGGGAAGTGAAAGAAGATTTCTCCATTATACCTCTCTTAGAAGAGAGGTCTCTTATACCTCTCTTAGAAGAGAATGTTCTTTTTTTTTTTTTTTTTTTTTTTCTCACTTTATAGTTTCCTTTATGTCCTCTGAGGAAGAGAAGCAGTTAAGTGCAGTCAAACTTATGCAGTTCATAAATCTGTGCAAGAAAATACATAGAGACCACGCAGCAAACTTCTGCATGTGTGTGGTTGTATTCATGAACTTTCTAATAGGTGTAATTGACTTTTTCCCCACAAAAATGTAGGTTGTCAGAACCAACRTTTACAGGATGATTAAATGATTTTAGCGTGAGAATCTTAATTTCTACTAAATACACATAATTAAATAAAGACCCAGAACCCAAACACACCTGAATAAAACAAATTTCCACAGTGCTTTTTCTCTTCACTGTAGTCTGCCAAAGAAAAGACATGAGGGATGATGGAGTGACCTCTTTGGGGCACCTGGAGTGGCAGTTTGGGACACATTTGGGACAGTATCCTGTCCCTCCACCAAGGATGTGGCTATTGGGCCTTGAGTCTGGAAACCAAGTGTCCCAGTGCGCTGGAATGGTCTTGAGCAACATGCCACAAGTTATCAAAGTCCCATTTGTTTGCAGCAGCCTTTGGTGCMCAGCAAATAAAATAAATAGCAGGAGAAGCCAGCAGAGCCCTGTGTAAATCTCAGCTGTGCAAAATACCAGCGAGGCAAAGCGTTTCTCAAGCATTGCCCGGAGGATTTGTGTCTCTGCGATTGTCTCCGCACTGCTGAGTGGTGGAGGATCCTTTAGAAAGGGCACTATCAAAACTCACGTTGTTTACRGCCAAGGTTTGGTGTCCCTGTGTGATCTGTCCCTGGAGATGGAAGGTATGTGGGAAGAGGGAAGTTCTTCAAACAAGGCAGTGGAAATAGGAGCCGCTGGATAACAAGCCATCTACAGGCAGGAATGCTGGCGTGGCAGCGAGCAGATAACTCCAAACAGCTTCCAGTGGGGATGTGGTGGGCGGCGTTTTTATCAGTTTGTTCTAAGCACCTCTTTGCAAAATTAAAGTTGGAAGTCTGCTCTCTGTTGGATTCCAGACAGGCAGGGAAAAAAAAAAAAAAAAGGCACAAACTAATTAAACGTGATTTATTGTGGAATTTGCAACAGTGTTGGAGAGATGAGTTGCCTTTCAGAAATGCTGCTGTGGATGTTAAATCTGTGCTCTGCTCCGGATGAAAAATGATGAAGCTGTTGAGCAAGTACACAAGAAAAACGTCGCCTGTGTTAAAGTCTGCTCTTGAGCAGGGTTATTCCCTGGAGGTCCCAGGTAGTGCAGCTCTGAGCAAATCTTTGTGATGCTTTTAGTTGGGAGAAGAATGTGTTTCCTTSAGCTTAGAGGTTAAAATGTAGAGCTTCTCCAGTGACAAGCTTTCTGCGTTTGATCTGAGGAATCCTTTGTTTACAAGTAAATTGTGGTGTTTGTTAGCAGATAACAGACAAAAAGSCAACTGCATAAGAAACATTCTCTATTTGTTTTTCTAGTGGTGACAGTTTATAATGCTGATATATGATAAACTGAAAATTGCCATGTGGAGACTCTGCTTAGTAAACTGCAGCAATGTATAGTGTTAGTTTTGTAATATGAAGCAACAAACAATTCCTARGTAATTAAATATATAYTTTATAACTTTTTTTTTTTTTTTTGAAGARGACACAACTGCAGCTAAGCCTGAGATGTGGCATTTGCTTGTTCTGGCATCTGCTCCTTGTTCTAGAAGCTACTCAGTGGAATGACAAGATGGATTGAGGAGAGGAGTTTGTGCTGTTGTGTTTTGGCTTTTCTTGTTATTTGTTAGATTTAGAATAACTGAAGGCAAACACGTGAATTCTCTGGAGACGGAGGTGATAAGCCTGTCTGATTTTTCTGTGTTGACTTAGTGTATGGCAATTCTGTGGCAGAAATGCAAATACCTTTAAAACATGCTTTGCATCCTGGTCTCTTATCATTGCCTTATAGCKAATTATGGGCATTTCTATTATTAGGTCCTTGTAAAGGTCTCCAATAATGGAATGTATATATACATGTATTTCAATATATACTTCATGTTTTCAGGAGTGTTTCATAAGAAATGCTTTGAAAAGAGAGAAAGAAATTGCTTTCAAGAGGTTAATAAAAACTCCAGTGAACGACAATTTTAGTTGACCCTTGCCACTCTCAAGAGATGCTTGGGATGTTGTGGACAGATTTCCCCAYGCTTTTAAAGCTAAACTAGCAAAATCAATGTGTTCTGCCTAGTTTGTAGGTTCTCTGGGCCTCTGTGCAGCTGTGTCAATTTTACATGCTTGCTCCCTRTTCTCCACTCACCCACTAATAAAATGCCAATGTTTATAACTTAAATCCCAGTGTTATCTTTTGCCCCAAGTACTTGTGCACAATTCTTTAGTCAAGCCCAACAGTGTAGTGAAGTAAGATGGTGTGATTATTTAGGACCTTGATAGCAGGAACAGTGTGGGAGTAGAGAGTTGTCTCGATTTGTTTCAGGATGACCTTACCATTTTCCTTTAGTGTATGATTAGTTAGCTGAAAGAATTMATCCCACTTTATAACTTGGCTTTGTTGTAGAAGTGTGTCCCTATTCAATGACAATTCATGAAACATAAGTGACCTTATGCTTGCAGACACTTGAACTGACCCGGGTAAGTTACTCAGTGCTATGCATTGCTCTGCTCCTTATTTATTTATTGRTGTGGAATAATGCAGCAGAGAAAGAAAGATGACAGCATTTGTGGATAATGAGAGCATTAAGTTT